CCCCCCAAAGTAAAAAAGTGCCATGAAATATAAGTACGAATTTAAAAGTGAACAAATGAAATTTGAAATAGAGTTGCAGCTAGATAGAGTTACAAACAGTTGTAGCGCATACTTGCTTGAGGTGTACAACGCCTTTGACATCGCCTTCTCCACGAAGAACGGCAACAGCACAACTCGTCATACTTGCCTGTTAACCTGCAATAAACAATTCACTTTGTTCATTATCATGCACTCAATATTCTATCACTCAGAAAATTATTTTCAATACCAACTCCAATAAAACTTCGCTATTCATGCAAATTTTGGGATGCATTCAATTGGCAATAACTGATCGCCAAACTCTTCTTAAAAAAACAACAATAACGCTCAATATCGCCTATGCTAATGAAACGAATAAAGATTACACATTCACACGCGTTGAATACATGACGGTTCACATTCTCACAATTTCAACGAGAAAATACACCACATGGAGTGGTAATGGCACGCAGATTACGAATGCTTTGCAGTAAGAAATACATTTAGTTTTGGAATCATTTACAATAACGCTTCAAAATACACTCCACCAGGCTTGTTATAGTTCTCGGTAGCATTAATTTTGAAATGTGAACATGTTTGAAACATCATGTGACTAGAACATTGGGTAGACGAATGGTTAAACAGAAATTAGTTTTCCATTAAGGGAGAGCGAATGTACGTCTAAGACTGTAGAGTTATGAGAGACAAGAAGGAAGCGAAAGTGAAAGCAATCATTTTGCTATGAAAACACGTAAAATTTGCTTGGAACAGACAGAGCCGGAATCGCACCACCAAAGCCAGCTCATTTACTTTCTATGAACAACACGACCGTCCGTTCCGAACAGCTTTTCTCAATAACTGCACAAATTACACTACATTCTGCATACGCTACCAACTCAACACCTTGTCGTGAAATAGCCAATGGGCGTATATGAAAACAGTAGAAAGACCAGTGCGCGTCGGCACTTTTTACAACAGCAGAGAGTACGTGGACAAATGCGGTTGTAACGTCAGCACTATTTCCATAACTACTATTGTTGTATTACCGCGCCTATTAGTCCAAACGGTCTGAACACCATCAAGTTGCCCCACCCGACGCCAAGTGGTTTACTGCCTACAGCTGAAAGAAGTTTTTACTCGATATTCGTTGTGTTAAATGTAGCAAAATGCCACAATTCTCCACTTGTCCGCATATAATCGAGCATCGTCTGTAGCGTGGCAGTGCGTTATCGCCATAAAAATATCACGGCTTGACTGAAACGTTGTAAACCTCATAATTTTTTAGCAGTATGTATTCTTGTGTTTTGTGAGCCTAAACGCAAACCCAAGAGTAAGCTTAAGCCTAAACTGATGTCCGATTCAAGTGAACAGGAGGGGGGCTAAAATACGGTCGCGTACGAGGTTTACAAGTTGCCTCAACAGTTCAATCGAAACTCATAAAATAGTGCAACTGTGAACCTCAAATGAAGATGTTGCAGTGAATACGGGTGAATTTCAGCCACTTATAGAACTACACACAAGCGTAGGCTCAAGAGCAAGACAGAGCCTAGATTCGATGGTAATTCAAGTTTATAAGGCTGAAATACAGCTCGTACATCGATGGAAAGCCATGAAAGGGCGACGTACTGAATCCTTTAACAGAAAGTTTGGTTAATGTCGGTGTCACTGTTCACTGCGACGAATCATTTCATTTGGTTCTTTCATTCTTTACACCTGACGTGTATCTACCAAAATTATGGTGCTAAATATTGTTATCTAATGTAAACCGTTATCTTCTTTGTCCCCGCTGGTTCACTTGAATTAGCGATCATATCTGAACTGAAAATCTTTATCGATTGAAACTGTGTCATTACCAGCATTTCACCTGTGGATATAATATGACCGTTTTCAGGCATCAAAGAAATCAGCTTTTGAAACGTTTATGCGATTGCAGAAAAAAACCACATTTATGAATGAGATTTTGCAAAGATGATAGTTTATCATTACATATTCACATTCTCGCTGTTGATGTGTTGCGCTGGAAAAGAAGCAAATGAAAAAGACATTAACCTAGCGTCAGTTGGAAATGTGCTGGATGTTTTGGTTGCGACCAAGGCGACTAACTTCACATTTCTCGAAACGTTTGTATTTAGATGTTCCTCATTATTTACACTAGCCTTTGTTTTTTTTATTGATCCAGACATTTGTTGCAATGCTTGGTTACTGTTGATTGAAATAAACATAGAATGTTGCTACATTGCCTGACCATGATGCACGCCACCAATTAAAACCGATTAAGCAAGACCATTAACGTCATCTTCCTAATTAACACCAGTTTCTCATCCACACTGGAAAACTACTGATCAGGAAAAGTCTAAGGAAAAAAAACGCAGTTTTGTGTTATCCATATTATATCGTATGTGATGATCGTTTGCAATATTTATGATTCAAAAAAGACGGATAGCAACAAGTGTTGAAAAAATCTGCTTGATTTATTATTGTCGTCAGAGATCATTATTGGTTTAATGACTGAGTACCGAAAAATTTCACACAAGGAATTGGGTGTTTGCTCTATCTTTTCGTGCCGTTTGAAATCAAGCTAGATACTGTGCCGTTTTCCCATCTCTTTCAATCATTTCATTTTTTCGAAGAAACGTCCTATTTAAAGAATTATTTGATTTTGTTTTGCTACTTCAAAATGTGCCAACAACTGAGACACCATTTTTTCGCTGTCTAACAATACGTGCTATCGAAGTATATTTTGCGGGATAAAATTTCGAATGGAAGCTCAATTTTATCAAGGTTATTCAAAATCAATCCAGAGATATAAGTTCCAAGCCTCAAGCTACCGATACCTTATGCTATCTTCAAATTATCCTCATAAAAGTTGCGTGAACTAGTCAGAAATTGAAAATTCATAAATTTATGCATACAATTCTTAAAATGAAACCTTGAACTTGGTATTGGAAAGAGTTAAGTTCAGTCTGTTAGTTTCAGTCATCATCCCTATTTTATGCTTGCACACTTCCCTATTGGGAAAATAACTGCCCCGGTTGACATAATGTAACATTTCTTTAAGATTTGAGAATGAAACAACCAAAATACCGCTTATCGAGCCTGAAGGATCTGGCTCAGAGGCTCAAGAAAAAAGGAGTTCTTTGGTAAGCAATTTTACGGAATTGTAATATTTCCTATTATCCGATGATTTTATCATCAGGTACGTAATTGATCATAAATTATGTAAATGTGAAAAGTATTTGTAAATAATTGCAGTATTTTGAAGATTTTATGGATTAAGAAATTTGGAAATGGAGTTGAGTGCGTTTGTTCGGGGAACGAATGTTTTATTTGTCGTTATTTCGTTTTGAAAGGTATTGCCGAATGTTCTTACGTTACTGGCTTGATATGTGCTCTCTTATAGGCGATATTCTTTATTCTCATGGTAATTGTTCTGGCCACTTTACTTGTACATTTGCTGATTGTGTCGAAATTTCATTACATTCCTGAGAGCTTAGCTATCGTTATGCTTGGTAAGTTGTGGTTTTCTTTCAACAAACCTTTGCCCATTAATGATTATATTTTATAATATCTACGAACAAGCCCTCCCCATTTCAGTTAATTCGTGATGTTTCTCATATTCCAGGTGCCTTTATTGGATTCGTTTTATCGTATAGTGAGCGAGATTGGCGTGAAGTGGAATCATTTAGTCCGAACTTTTTTTTCTTAGTTCTTCTACCACCGATTATTTTTGAAAGTGGTTATAATCTGCATAAAGTTAGTTGTTCCTAGAATTTTTATCACGAAAGCACTTAATTTCAATTCGAATTTAATTGATACCTTTTCATTTGACTTCACCATCAGATTCATTGAATATTTCTTTTCGGATAGCGATTTCCCCGAAAGAGATGTTTACTTTTTAGGGCGATTTTTTCGCAAACATTTTCCCAATTTTAACTTTCGCCATTATTGGAACGGCCGTATCCGCTTTTGTGATTGGTTCGTCGTTGTATATACTGGGACAGGTGGGTTCAATTTCTTGTCGTATCTATCACCATGATCATTAATAGCTGCATGAGTTGCTCACTTCAAAATATCAAAGGATTGCAGAATCATAGCCTCCTTGACATGCTTATAAATCAGCCGGGGTGCGAGATGATAATGCGAGATAAGACTTCATTACCATTACATTAAAGTAGACGAGGGCGGATTTCAACGCATACATATGCATAAAGTAAGCCAGGAAGGACTTTAACGTATATATTTTTGAAGGGTTACAACGTACTCTAAAGGTGTACACTTATCTACACTAAAGACACTCACTGCAGTGGATGAGAGATAGGGAGTGGGTGTTGTGAGGGCTGCGAGGACATTTTACTTACTCTTGTAGGAGTTGCGAGGACGTCTTAAAATTTTCCAGCGGTGTGATGGGGAAAAGGTTGAGAGCCACAGTTATAAACGAATCAGAGTTGATAAATCTACTTTACCTAATACTCAGCGAATGCGCACTGGCAATTTCACGTGTGGTTGGAGTCGGAACTTCATTTGGCATCAATTTCTCTTCTTCAGGCGGATTTGATTTATCGATTAAGTGCAATGGAAAGTTTTGCATTTGGTTCGATGATCTCTGCGGTCGATCCGGTCGCTACATTAGCCATATTTCAAGCGCTTAATGTAAGCTTCGTCATTTGATTTTTGTTGCAAACCCGTTGATCTTTTATAATGCTGATCCATAATCGTTGCATCGGAAGCAGTGAATTGCTGAGTAGTAACATCTGATGTGCTCATACAAACACATCACTTGGTTATTAACAGTTCATTAGCTGTACAGTTTCTTAAGAATAACTATGTGAATCTTATTGTTGGGCGAGTACAAGCTTTGCTCTCTGCAAATAATCACAAATTGCTTGTTGAAAACGTTCAGGTTGAGCCGATTCTGTATATGTTAGTATTTGGTGAGTCAATGCTGAACGATGCGGTAGCAATAGTACTAACGTCAACGGCCCTTGAACTGGCACACCCAGCAATAAGCAGCAGCTCTCTTTCCACGAGTCGTACACTGCTGATGGCACTGTATCGTTTCACTTTTGTTTTTATCGTTTCCGCTGTTTTGGGTGCAGCAATCGGCTTCATTTCTGCTTTAGTATGTTATGTTTCGTTGAACGTTGACTTTCGAGTTGTCTGCTTACTATTAGTCGTAACGATAATTCATGAGCACTTGAAGTGTGCAGTTTTTATTCTTTTGTTACAATATTGTCAAGTATAACTTAATCTTCGATTCAGAGTATTTTCAATAAACTTTACAGAGACCGCTTATTTTCGAAGTAACCGTTTGTAATTTCAGTTGTTCAAACATGTTGACCTTCGTAAAACTCCATCGCTCGAGTTTGCACTGCTTCTCGTTTTTGCTTACTTACCATACGGGCTTGCGGAGGCTATATCTCTTTCAGGTTGCGTTTTCAAAATCTATTTTCATTGTGACAGTTTTCATGGGTAGTATTCATTGAGTTTCGTAACTTAAGGTTCTAGCTATCATAAGGAGTGCATTATGAAATATTTGCAATTCTTTACAAGATTTTCGGTGGAAGCGTTGTTCATTAGGTTGATACTTGTAATACATTGAACGATAAAAATGATGATGCAAGATGTAATCGTGAATGTAATTCCTTGCGACTCGATTCACTTGTTGCTGCTCATTTTTTCGACAACGAACAAAAAATTGAAATGCTCTCGATTATCATTCATAAGGTTGTTTTTTGAAGGTATAATGGCAATTCTATTTTGTTCAATTACAATGTCTCAGTATACACACTTTAATGTCTCTCCAGTAACACAAATCACGATGCAGCAAACATTTCGAACTCTTGCTTTCGTTGCGGGTTAGTCGCTACGGTCAGTGTTTATTTTTAAAGGTATCATACCAAGAAGTGTATTAATTTCGATAAGCATTTACTCACAACGATCGTCTCATGAATTGTTATTTGTTTTCTTGTTCATTTATTCATCGTATCCTTTTCTTTTAGAAACCTGTACATTTGCTTATTTGGGCATGGCATTATTTACTATAAAACTTGTCTTCCATCCAATGTTTATTCTTTGGAGCATCGTAAGTTGGATCTATTTTACTTTCAATTCATTACTGTTGATGATTCCTAAAGTTTCAATGCAGTATGCGTGGTGCAGTAGTTTTACAAGAACGAAGTGCTCTTAAAGTTTCAATTCCATGCTGTTATAAATCCATTCTTGATTGAATTTCAACAATCATTTTACATGAGATTAAGAGCAGTAAATACTTTTTGCAGCTGTTGATGTAGGATATTAACATAAGTGCGTTCAAATTTTGTTTCCTTTTAAGTGGTTTCGTTTGCGTAACAATTGACTTTGCCTGGGTACATTAATATGTTACAGTTGTTGTGCTTCATTGCTCGAGCGTTAAACGTATTTCCGTTATCGTTTATTGTCAATCAGTGTCGTCAGGTGCAGATTTCTTTGAAAAATCAATTCATTATGTGGTTCAGTGGTGAGCTTTGTGATAGTTTCATTTGATATAATTGTTAGTCGTATCTCATAAACACAAATCATATTTGATAATAATAGCACAAATACAGTGAAGAATTTTTGTGTTTGTGGTAGATGTGTTCAGATTGGTTATAGTTATCATGTTGCTTGCAGGTATGCGTGGTGCAGTAGCGTTTGCTTTAGCACTTCATATATCAGCTGAGGATGAAACCACAAAACGCATGCTTCTCACCACCACATTGTGTATAACTCTCTTTACAATTATATTCCTTGGTGGCTCTACTCTACCGTTAATGAAGGTTTCAGTCTCATATTCTAGCTTTGTAAACTATATGAAGATAATATGAATGATAATCGAATTCTATCTGTTGTTGTTTCCGGAAAAAAGCTTCGTCAAAAAAATACTTGTTCTTTAGCAGTGATTTTTTTTGAAAGTTCGTTCTCATGAGAAGTTATCCGGTTTTTTTTTCCAGATACTTAATGAACTTTCCACAGTTCGTTTGAGTTCACAGAAAAGGAAACGTTCTCGACGTCGCAGAGAACGTAAACGAAGAAAGTCGCCCGTTTTACTGAGTAAAACACAAGAAATGGTGCGTTTGATCTGAATATTTCATTTGCAATTCAGCTGTGATATGTTTCGTTTCATTTATTTTTCGCATTTCTTCTGTGATATTTCAATTGTTCGTAAACTTTAGCTGTTCCCGGAAATAGTACCTTCGTTTTAAATGAAAACTGGTTGAAATGAAGGCAAGAAAACAGTTGACTATATTCAATTTTTGGAATGATTGATCAGTTCAGAAAATGAGTATATTCATAATTGCAGTTCATTTTTGATCACTCAGAAGCGATGACATCTGCAAATGAAGATGCTGGTACAACTATACGAAGTCGTCACTCAAATGCAACTCCCAATGCAGTTTCCAGGTTCAACGAACGCTTCGTAAAGCCGATGTTCGTGCGCAAATTTACCTCTCAGGTTCATATGATTACTCGTTTTAAATAGATCAATGGATGATGTGATGTTCTTATGATGTTTTTGAAACGACACTTCTTATAAAAGGATGCTACAGTGTGGGATATCCTCAGCTTGGTCAATTCTGTTCACCATATATTATGCAGTCAATCTAATTTCTCTTTTGATTCATATTTTTCTGTTGAGCTTCATGTTTTCATGGATGTGTTTATAAAAATGGAATTGACGAATTTTACATGATGTTTGACTTGAAAACATTCGCAGAGTATCGTGCAAGTGGGCTTCTTGGTAAATTTTAATTGGAGTAGTTAATTGTAGAGTAATTATAAGGTAGCACTTACAGGAAATGATGGAAAACAGAGTAAAGTTACGCAATTTGGCTTGCGAAGTATTGAACGATGGAGGTAATAATGAAATGATGCATATCGGATTTGAACAGTCTTCATCGGATGAATTATTTGGTGTCGCTACAGATCCACTTTTGCGGTAGAACCTAATGTCATATTTCGAAGGCATCTGCTGTAAATTGTTTGAATTGCTAATTTTTAACAAATATCATTGAAAGTGCTCGAATCTAACCGTGTATTATTATTATCATTATTATTATTGTTACCATTGTTATTCTACGCACTCAGATGCGTTTGCCATTAATATTATANGCGGTAGAACCTAATGTCATATTTCGAAGGCATCTGCTGTAAATTGTTTGAATTGCCAATTTTTAACAAATATCATTGAAAGTGCTCGAATCTAACAGTGTATTATTATTATCATTATTATTATTGTTATCATTGTTATTCTACGCACTCAGATGCGTTTGCCATTAATATTATAACAGTATGTTGTTTGTCATTCGGTGGCATTTGTCTCTGAATATTTTGTATCTTCTTCCTAATATTAAGTGATATCATACTGTGATTTTGTTCAACCATCTCATTAGAAAGTGTTTCTTTGAATAATTTCTGAGTTATATTGTAAGTTAGCGTGGGGATATTTCGAGTCAATTTTTGGTGATATATTATTTCATTATGGGCTGTTTCATAATACTATTTTGTCAACTTATTATTATTCATATTTTCAGAAACGATGTATTTGAGAACTATCAATCATATTGATCAGATCGATATTGAACATTCTCAAAAAGGTGGAAGTATTTACATAAGCAAACCAATAGACTATGAATTTATAGGATTGAAGAACATCGTGACCGGACAATTTGCCCAAAAATGTTTTGTCTAAGGACAGTTTACCTATTAGGCAAAATATCTATTAAAGAACCGTCCGTTAGTCAAACTGTACTTAGGCAAATTGTCCGGGTACCGAAGAACATTGGCAGTAGGAATCATCAGTGTCTAATATGCATGGCTCAATTGTTGATGACATATGACATGACATATGCTCTTTTTTAAGTCATCTACAGCACAATTTCGAGTCTGCTTAATAGGGAGATTTTGCGCAACGAAAACAAACATTTCATTAATGATATTGGTACACCACTCGGTTTCGAGCGAAACTTTCCTTCGCGAACGCGAATCGAACCCGCGACGTACCAAATACCGATTGGGGCTCTACCTGTGAGCTAACGCGGAGACCGTTCAGTCTCCGCCGAGTGGTTGTGTTAAGATCGCAATCGGTTATTCAGTGCACATAATGATCTGATGAGCGTCAAACGATGCAATCAGAGCGAACTGATCTGTTCACAATCACAATAACATAAGCTTGAGCCAGGCTATGGTCCGGCTTGTGTCTAATACCTAAACATTTCATTGCTAATTGGTATGTCATTTTCATCTGTAATTAACTGTCAGTGAGATGGACATTCATGATGTCTGTTCATTTTGTAAATAATTGACTTTTTATTGACAAATTGTGGGAATCTGTTGTTGGTCATTGATGAATACACTCTTTTTATTTCCATAAACTGCTTTCGTTATTGATAAGCGAACTGTCACTTGTTGTTATTCAGTGCGTTTCCATTTCTTTTCTTGTAAACAGCTGAGGACGAAAGTAAGATCTTTGAATATGACAATTTAAAAGAGACATTCATAAAGCAATTATGAAAGTATATTATCGGAGATGAACATCAGAGAGAATGCGTTCTAAAAGGAAAGGCATGACGAGCATTCTTGTATGTCCTCATGTACTGTGAGTTGGAAACGTGGCGATTTCTGGGATGGTTCCTTGTTTTGATACTCCATTTATTCGACGCAGATGAGCGATTGTTTATTAAGCCATACACCCAGTGGTTTCTCGGGATCTAAAATCACTGATTGTTTCAATAATAATCCAACTTATTCTCGCGCTATTCCTTTATCGCTATCAAAATTGCACCCTCTAAAGATGAGATATTCAAGTATTGTTCTCATGAAAGCATTTCTTTTGAATGTATCCTTTTTGTATACCGTTTTGAATTCATTTCTGGGATGTCGACGAATGTCAAATGGTTTTTGGCGAGGTGATGACGTTGCCATTCTTTCTTCTGATCGACTGAAATTCGATGCCGATGTCAAGCGAAGAGGGTTCTTTCCAGTGATGATGTTTGCAACAATGCTTGGCAATATTTCGCCTCGAACTTTCTCGAAAACGGCTTTTCCTATCTGTGATTTTGATTACGGATAGTAAATTTAAGTAAACGTGAATGATCAATGTGCAATATTTTTGAAGTAAACAACAAGTACAACAACAAAGGCTTAGTATAGGTGGGGATGCAGAGGGTCGTTCGCGAAACGTCAACTTTATTAAAAATAACCAATTGTTGGTGTATCGTAAATATCGTTCTATCAAAGAAATTTGTGAGTCTCATAGCAAGTAACATTCACCTGTTGAGACATGCTTGAATCATCGAGCATGTTTTTCGCGTTATTGAATTGTTTTACAGCTTGAATACTTGTTGCAATCGGTATACCATTTTGTTGTAACATATCCAGTAAACGGTTCCCTGTTTTTTTATTCTCCATTTCGTTGATTTTACCTTCTTCTAATACTGCCCGTGTGGCCATTTGTTCAATTTGCTTCTCTTTCAGTTTTCCGTGCTAAAAAGCAATGATCAAATTAATTTTCATTTGACTTTATTGCAAGCATGCATTGATTTACAACTCAAAGATTATATGTGAATATGCTAGGATTCGTATGTGAATAGTGCACCAATACGCGCATTGAAACTGTACCTCTGAGAGATTCGCCTCGGTTTGTAATTTCAGGAGACTTTTAGCTGCTTCGATCTGACCACGTTTGATCAGTTTGTCCAAGAAGCGTATGCCAATTTCCTCAATGGCATTTCTGGTTGGAAATACCACATTCATTTGCTCAATTGATACCTTCTTCTCCAAAATATCTTTACTGTTTCGTTCACTCGCAATACAACTATGTACTGAAATCTTTTTTCCTTCGAAAATTATTCATTTACTATTTGTTGAATAAATTCGATGAATAGAATCCAATCCCTTTAAATTCACCGTTGGAACAGTTTATTAGAACTATCACATTCCAGAAATTGAACTCTGTTGATTGCATAAGCTCGGTGGTATGCAAATGAAAATGGAAGATTAACACTTCTCCCACATGTAATTCCAATTTAAGAAACAATCATCATAAAATTTTCTCACTAACGATTTTATACAATTTTTGTTCTATTTAAAGTCAATCGACTTAAATCGCATGTTCTCGCCTTATAAACTTTTATATCGTAGTTCCGAAAAAGTTTTGTGGGCACTCCATTTTGCTGGCGATCGTCAAACATGATGAAGCACATATCGAAAAGCAATGTGAAATTCGACTGAAAAAGCTAAATCGGTGAAGAAAAGACATTCGCATAAACTTACATGATAATAAAAAGATGTAGGTCGTTTGCAGATGACTCATTAAGAGTGTCATCTGAAATGGCTTGGACAAGTGTTAACGATGAGAATAATGAATATTAGTGGGTTGCACTTGAATTTAAACAAACAATTCGACGAAACGATTTGTAACCGGATCAAATGGGAACACACGCGCAACCAATTAACGTTTACCGTGTAATTTCTCACTCAGTTTTGCTCTTGAGACATTTCGAGTTTGGTCTTCGGAGCAGAAATATGCTGAAATGTTATTGGTGAAGGCAGCGTTGTTGGTATCAAGAAACAGCCATTCACGAACTCAATTATTCATGCATTGTTCCAGTGCTTTTCTCAGTGCAAACAAAATATTTGAATAAGGAATCATGAAACAGTGTTTCTCATTAGTTATGCACCAAGAGTGGATATTCTGATATTTCAAGTCTGAAATAATTTAGTGTTCATAGAATAATTTTTTACCGTCTTTTAAACAAGACGAAACAATGCAATGTTCAATTGTGTTGTCGACTCGTTTCAGTAGCCAAGGCATGAAGTCATTTTCAAGTTCTGCAAAAGAACTGCTCAAAAAACAACTTTTGACCGCTAAACAATGTATCAAGAATTTTCATTTACAATGAAAATTCAAAGTACACCGTAATTAAAAATCAACAAGGACATGGCTCAAATTTTCCATGACTTTCCAGGATAGCACGCATCGTCTGCGTTTATGATGCTTATCACTTTCCTTATATTAATCATCATTCATAAAGTCGAAAGCCAGAATAAGTTCTGTCCACAGATCACCTTTTGCTTGTCGCCAACTATTTTTGCTGATTTTCAAAAACTCAAACCATTGTTTTTGCCTTGGAACAGCCTTATCAAAATCGATTCTTTTTCAGCTATATATACTGCTTCCAGAATCTTGAATTGCTACTTAGAATAAAGAAAATAAAAATTCAATCCATCGCTGTAAACGTTTAAATTCTAACCAGCAAGCATAAGTTGTTGTTTAAGGCATTCTTTATGCAGTTGTCTTGTATCAGATGCTACATGCCTAACAGTAGCTTTCTCCTTCAGTATACCCTTCTCAATGGCATTCTCGATCGTTTTCTCAATCACTTCATCTATCACTTCCACAGCAACTTGAGCATTTTCTTCCATTTCGTACTTCCGAATAGTTTCTTCCTTCTCATGAATTCTTTTTGTCTGAAGTTATTCAGTCGTTGATTTTCTGTTTTCAAACTTTGATTATTGTTAAGTTTTTAAAACGTTCTCATTCTATGCCATGAGTAGAACTACAAATGAAACTGAAAGAACGAGACAAAAATCTGATTCATTGTATTTTATTGCTCAGTTAATGTTTCAGAATAACGAAACTAAAATAAGCAGCAACCAGTTCGTGATTAACTTCGGTCATTTTTTCAAGAAGATTTTGTGTAAAGGCCCGTTGTTGAGCTAATTCGTTGACAAGCCTCATTGTTTTTCGTTTCTGATTTGAGAAACGTTCTTCATCAGCGAGGGATTCGATCGCTGCTTCAATGCTACCTTCGATCACTGTGTCTAAGACCGGCTTCACATGCTCATCAAAACTCTGTAATTTGTTTGTCGTTCGCTCAGTATGGATGTCCTCACTAGCTGTTTGCACAATAATTGCTCCAGCCGATTGAAAAGATCTGTATCATTTGAATTCACCTACACGCTGTTATTTCTTAAAATGTTACTTAACACACAAAATCTCACATCAGTGATTCGATCATCAAAAAGAATCAATATTCAATAAAAAGCTGCATTACGACAAAAGAGGATAATCACGTATCAAAAACTGCAAAATTTTCATTTAAACTTTTTTTCAATGGAATTGTGAATGCATTATTCAACTCCTACATCAGCAGTTTGGATAA